ATAATACATATAAAAAATAAATATTTTAGCAATTTCTTAAACGATGTACAATAAAATAGTTTCATATCCCACAATGACTAAGTAAGATTTTGCTAAATTCATTTTCCAATACAATTTCAATTTCAACTGCTCAGTGTAATATTGCGATATTTCATACTCTGAACTTAGATTAGATAAATGACTGAAAAATACAAATGTAAGCTTAATGCGAGTATAATTAAGTCAACAATTATTGGAAAACTAGTATTAAGTATATAATAAAAGTTAGTTTTCTAATAGTTCACAACTTTATCATTATTCTCTAAAGTGCACTTTATGATCATATTACTCTCTCACCCTCTTTCTCTCTCTCTCTCCCACTCCTTCTCACCCTTTGCTCATTGCTCATGGAAAAAGCTTTTTGATAAATAGAGCTTTTGCCAATAAATATCGCGTGCTCAGCGAATCATTCACTCAGTGTGCATCGAAGTGTAGAAATGTCGACAATTCTAGTGCTGATCGGAATCATCGTGACCCTGCTCTATTATGCAGCTCGACATAGGCACAACTATTGGAATCGCCGTGGCATTCCACACGATGTGCCTAGGTTCCCGAAAGGCAACATTGCCGATTGGCAGACGAAGCGCCAATTAGGCGTTATCTTCAGAGACTACTATCTGAAGTACAAGAACAGAAATGCGCCCTTCGCTGGCTTCTATTTCTTCTTCACGAAGACTGCGATTGTCACTGATATGGAGCTGGTGAAGCGTATATTAATAAAGGACTTTAGTAACTTTGAGAATCGTGGCATATTCCACAATGAACTCGACGATCCTCTGTCCGCGACACTGTTCAGCATTGAGGGTCAGAAGTGGAGGCAGTTGCGCCACAAGCTGACGCCCACCTTCACCTCCGGTAAGATGAAGAACATGCAACCCATCGTTCTGAGAGTCGCCGAGGAAATGGCCAAGATATTCAAAGAAAAGGCGTCCACAGCCCAGGTCCTTGAGGTTACCGACTTGGTGGGACGTTACACGGCCGATGTGATTGGCAACTGCGCCTTTGGCCTTGACTGCAACAGCCTGCGCAATCCCGACGCGGATTTCGTTCGCATGGGCAAACGGGCTGTGATGGAACGACGATATCGTGGCATATTGGATTTCTTCATATTCGGATTCCCAAAGCTGGCACGTCGCATGCATCTGAAGATAACAGTGGAGGAGGTGGAGGAGTTCTATTTACGCATCATTCGCGATACCATCAAATATCGCTTGAGCACAGAGGAGAAGCGCAACGACTTCATGGACATGCTCATCGAAATGTACCAGAAGCAAAAGGCGGGCAACACCGAAGAAGGTCTGTCGTTTGAGGAATTGGCGGCCCAGGCATTCATTTTCTTCGTAGCCGGTTTCGAAACCAGCTCCACAACCATGGGATTTGCTCTCTATGAGCTGGCCCTGCATCAGGACATACAGAACAAGCTGAGAGCGGAAATCAACGAGGTGTTGAGTAGGCACAACAATGAATACACCTACGATAATGTGAAGGAAATGAAATATCTGGAACAAGTTGTCATGGGTAAGTAAAGTCATATATCTTTCTATAATAACCTGAATACAATTGGAATATTTTAATGCAGAAACTCTACGAAAGTACCCCGTGCTACCCCATCTTACCCGAAAGGCCATCTCAGACTATTCGCCCGGAGATCCAAAGCATTATATTGAAA